TGTATTATCTAAATTATTTTAATACATTATTTTGAAGTACAAAAATAGCGAGAAATTCTGGATAAATAAATGGGCATACAACTAATTTTATTACAATGAATTAACCTGAGAATAAACCGTCATTGTATTTGTCTGAAAATCAACCTGACTCTTTCCTGGCTGTCACTTCCAATATCAAGTAAGGTCTGATTATACGAAAAATGCAACAAACACCTTCGTGTATTACGTAGTATGCTGTAAGCTCATAAATTCGGAGAACCAATATTCAAATTAATAATGAAAATTAAAATACGTAAGCCCACATGCTCATTGAAAACAGGGAGAACAGAGATGGAGACCATAAAGTATCAGAAACTTAGTTTGAAAGCGCTATTTGTACTCTTGAAGTATAATTACTATCTGGTATGTGACTCGGACACAGAAGTATTTTCCTTTTCGTGTGGTAATCGACTTGGCTTGAAGCAAGGTAGTAACGTTTATAAATTTTTTAACAGTTGTAATTACCTTATCCACCAAATTAGTGACAAATGAAGAATTGAACTAGAAACGTAATGCAGGGAAAGACCTTTGGGAACCATTGCTTCACGTAATGAGACCGTCCAACATTTACATTCAAGCATCATCACTGTCATTACTTAAAGGAGAAACATCTTGTAACAAGAAACACCAGCAACTCGTGCTGCACCAAAATAGGAAATGCTTTTAAAAGTTGCTAATATTAGCGTATGTATCTATTAAGGCACACAATACGTGTGGTCTTTTGAATCTATATATATCTGTATATATAATTCAGTAAAACTTAACGTATAATCACAACATTCCAATCATAAAATATGTGACATAGAGGTCCACAGAGAGGGTAAATATATGTGATATAACTTATCTAATTTTTTTGCTGCCATAAGACTTAAACAAAATCACTTATGGCTGTGAGGGAAGCTTATACGTTCATATGATTATAAACTCATAAAATATATTTATACAACTTTGCATATAATGTTTTAATTATAAGCAAAACAGATGAAGGTCATTTCTGCCGAGGGTGACAAGATAGGTCCACAAAATAACGGGAGATTCTAACAAGAGTAAAACACGAAAGTATGTGCGTACTTGCTTTGGACCCTGGACAGTCGCTTTTATTGGAATTGAGCTGTTCTTTTTTCAAACTACACTCAATAAGGATTTATACCAGACTTACCAAACTTAACGTTTCTTAATTAAACGGTAATGTCAGACTTACCAAAGCGATTAGTTCTACCCACGTGATTGGCCATTCCTATTCAAACGTAAGGGAAGTTGTAATATCAACATAAGACGCCACCTTACCCGCCATTGGAGGTCACTGCTGTTTATATTCACGCACAAGGGGTAGCTTTACAACCACAATCCCCATGAGCAGAAAAGATGTTATCTCAAGAGAATTGCAAAGAAGAAAGGTAGCCAGAAAGACATCAACTTAAACACTTTTTTGTGAAAATTGCATAAACCAGACTAACTGACAAATTCTGACAAATGTTATATCAAAATAAGAAGGTATAAGCCGCACGATATTCTTATATAGGGCAATTTTATGTCCAGTAATAGTAGTGTGAATCCAGTCATGGCTCCCTAGAGTAAAATATTGCATCATAAGTGTGTAGAAATCAGTTTTCGTTGGTTAAGGATACTCCATGCAAAAATTTGCGGCAAGGCTCCAGATACAGCTGTATGTAAAACTTTGAAGAAGATACGTGAAAATGGTGGAGGTAGAAAACCGAAACTTTTCAAAAGGGATTTTAAATGCCTCGGGTATGTTATTTTGAGATAAATGACAGATGGAAACAGATCTTGTTAAAGACCCTGCTTTAAATATTGATGTGAATTTAACCTTGAAAGGAGCAAGATACACATCAGTTCAAAATGGTGTCAACAGACGCGTAGTTGCTCGAAAACTGCTGCTGAGAAGAGGTAATCAAAACAAAAGATTGAAATGGGCAATGAAAGAAGAAATAATCAAACCAAAATAATAAAACTGGCATTGATCCATAAACAGTGATTGAGCAAAAGCAGATGTGTACTCTTTACAGATGAATCTAAGTTCGAATTGTTCGGCAACAATGAAAGACAGTTTGTTTAACTAAGGAGAGGAAAACGGTATTAGAGCCAATGTGCGATATCTATAATGAAGAATGGTGGAAGATCAGTGCAACTCTGGGGCTACATTTTAGCCAACGTTATCGTCTATCTATACGACACTTATGGCAGATTCTACCAACATGCCATTCCCTCACGAATATGAATCATTATTCCAAAGCATATAGTAACTATTATGAAACGATATGGAATACTCACAATCACAAACCTGCACAAAGTATAGATATGAACATTCTTGAGTCTGTGTGGTCTTATGTATAAACTGAGAGGGTCAAAAGATGACCAAGTAATTTGGCTGAATTGGAGGGTGTAATATAGGTCATTTGGAAGAATATTTTACAATCGTACGTTGATAAACTGTACATCTGCTTGAAGATAAGGTTTAGTCCTCCTTATAAAGCAAAGGACTCACATCAAAAATACTTGTACTTCGTAGAATCTCTTTACTTTATTAACCATAGTTGTCATTAGTGGATATTTTTGTTTGTGTGAAGAACAAAGATGTAAGCTCCACTGGGCTAATACTTTCTATTTATTTTAAACATTTATTTTTTCTATTTTCTATTTAGCAAATGCAGAGGCTGAGTACGTTATATTAAAACGTTTTTAGGGTCTCACTACATTGTGGGAGTCCACGTCGCCACGACTGGTCATGCCTCATTTGACCGCCATGTGTCTAAACATGAGCCCTACGGTGTAGTTTTCAGTGCAAAAGGTTCCATTGTTAAACTTTCATGTAAAACTAACACTACTACTACTCCCTCAATATTTTACATAAGCCATCTAATGTACAAAGGCAATTTTGTCTTCATAAGGAATAGCACGAATACCCACTTCATTCTTGAGCTGTTTGAGGTATGCGACGGTTGAACAAAAAGTATGACTGGAAACCTTTTCTTGGTAAACCCTGTTGGCTTCCTTTACAATGAAAGATCCTTCCTGGTTATGATGCATATTGTTGCATGTCTGCTTGTTTGTTAATTTCCCATAGAAATTATTTCCGAGAAACTTCAGCGATACAAGTCCTTTTTATGATTAAAAGTAGTTTATTCTTTCTCAATACAAACTTTGTAATACACTTAACAACTTTTGAAACACACGCTATAACTCACAGTGATTCACACACTTTACTTATTGTGCCTACTGTTCGCTTGACTCGATTATCTATCTCCTCAATCACACTGTTTTTTCTCGCCAAGCTTATATATTAAAAAGAGGGCATCTCGATCAGACTAGAGTTGCCAGGGAAATTCATGATTCTTCGAGATTCGAGAAACACCAGCGCGCATGCTCCTAGAGTCACGTGACTTCCGCTGTCGTAACAATATTGTTTCGTGGCGCACGTGGGTGGCTTTTCCCACTAACATTTGTGTCTATGGATTCATATCTGTTACGAGATGCTACAGTTTGTTAACTACGGCTAGAGTACGACTTTTTACAAGTCTCTTTTAGGATAGTCCCGGTGCTCCAAGCTGGTCCGTTTTTTTCCCGAATGTCATTAAATACATGGGATCTCGCCTTCTTGAAAGTTATAAATCTTCGATCTGAACCCATCTTTATGATCTGAGTTTATAAATATTTTGTGTTGCAAAGTGCTGTTATATACACTTCTGAAAACGACCACTTTTCGGTGGCATCACACTAACTACGAATGAGGAACAATGTTAAAATGTAATTCCACTGCAAATTTATATAGGCTGTGCTTGTCACGTGACCTGCAGATGTGCATATTCGTTTGTAATTAAGCACAAAGCTACACAATGGGCTATCTGTGCTCTGCCCACCACGCGTATCGAAACCCGATTTGTAGCGTTGAAAGTCCGTAGACATACCGCTGTGCCACTGGGGGGGGGGGGGGCGTGCATATTCGAGATCATTTTATTATATCTGATTTAACTGTCTTTATGACTCTTCCCTTAAATCCTCTTTTTTACTTTTCATATTATTCTCCTAATTCTTAACTGTCACAGTAAGCTATAGCGATTTTTGCACCAAAATTTTGGCCTTTATCTTAAAAAAGAATACTTGGTATTCTAGTAAAAACAACTAGTAAATTCTAATAAATAAAACTAGTAAAACTAATGTCTTAACTTGCTAAGCTTGATCAAGCATACTAATTTTTGCTTTTTAATTTCGTATACGAGTAAAACCTAGCTTATAAAAAAAGCGTTATAAAAATATCGGCCACTTACTGTTTTTCTTTCATGGTACGTGGTATAATGTCATATTTATTGACGTACTAAGCCCAATTTTGTGCATCAAAAAATTATTACAAAAATACCACTCACCAATTGTTTCTCTTTCTTGGTAATTTGTTTCAGAAACGGGAGCTATTTATGTGACTATGAGTTTAACATTTAGTTTTTCTTACCTGTATTTCAGTAATATGAAAAATAAATACCCGTTTTCTATTTAGCCTTATAGAAGAAAATATATTTTCCATCCTTATAACATTTTAAAGAAGAAATTATAGAATGTCCCCTGTTGGTCAAGCAATAAATTTACATACTTACAATGCTAAAATACAGGATTTGATTTCCCACAGTGGACAGAGCGCCGAGTCCATTATGTAGCTTTGTACTAAGAAAACAACAAATTGCAGAATAATCATAAAATAATGACAAAAAAATCAACTCTTAGGTAACACCCATAAACACACACACACACACAAAGACACTATAACTTGAAATTAAAAATGAACAAAAATGGTTAAAACAAACAGAAACAAACGTTTGACGCTCAAAACTTTAATTATACTAGATTTGAGGATTACATTTTCAATAATAGTTTCTGGCAAAAAAAATCATGACTGAAAAACGTAGCAAAATGTTAAAAGGATCTAATCTAGCTTTTTTTATTCAATACAGATTAAAACATTGTTCTTAAAATGGCTTCCATTTTTCCTGCGGATGAAGCGACGTGGAAGGAAGACGAATTCACGACATGTGTTTTTCAAAAATAAGATGAAAGAGTTGGACAGGAAAGAAAGGTCTTCTAGAAGTTTGATCGCCAATGTTTTAGATATCGATGATGACTTTCGCTCCCATAACAGTACCACAAGCTACTTATCAGTCCGCACTAACGAAGAGACGGTGAACAGTCACGTCTGTGGAGTTACGCAAAAAGAAATTAGTACAATTATTCGGGAACTCCGATTTATAACCAACCGCTTGAAAACTGAAGATGAAGCAACTGTAATTATAAACGAGTGGAAATTTGCTGCAATGGTGATGGACAGAGTTTGTTTGATTCTTTTCACTTTATTTACACTCCTTTCAACATTTGCGTGCCTTTTTACAGCGCCACACCTTGTCGCTTAATTAATATCATAAAGGTATTGTCACTGTATCAGCATACTAGTAAGATATTCAGTGAATGGTACATTTAATCGGATGGATTAAAATTTACACAACATGAATATATATTTAAATCAACCGAGATTCGATCGCTTGGGTTCGTATTTTGGTCGTATAGGTTTCATCTACTTTAAGATGTAGATATAGCTGTGGGAAAAAAGTAGGCGTTTTTTTTTCTTGTAGTTTCCGCATAGCTCACCAAGTAACGCTTTGTCAAAAGTTTATGTGCCAGGATTAAACGGGCATAGAATGATTCAATTAGAATTTACAAAAATATTATTTTGGACTTTTTAAAAACATTTCAAACTTGTTAAAAAGTTATCTATTACTTTTTACTGGGTTTTTAATCACAAAGCTTCCAATGCTGTTTTTAAAACAAGACACACTTTTAAGATAAAGCATTGCTCATATGCTTTCTAATTATATGTAATATGCGAATTTCAACGTTCCGTTATTACTGAAACTTAATATAAAATGAGAAGTATTGTTTCCTGGTATCTCATTTTTTTCATGCCGAATTACTGTCTGCAGCTTTTATTGTGGTGTGTACAACCACTAAATTCTGAAAAGAAAATAAGAAAAAAGAATTTTAACGAATAACAAAAAATCATCATGAATTTTATACTTACAAAAGAAAGTTTTCCATTGGTAAGTATTCAAATATTTACACTCAATCATTGAGAGTGAACATCGAAAACTAAAAATAATGCATTTTACTATTTGTAATGCGGACAATAGTAGTAACTACGTAACTAAGTTACAACGATCGATCTAAAGTTAATAATAATTACAATTAACTTATTTAATCTAGCTCATGAAAGCTGATGATGTATATAGCGCCTAGACCATAGTATGACTATATTACCCTAGCCTGTCTGACGATACTTCTTATTGAGCAAAAGGCCTCGTCGGTATTGATTATGGCAGATTTAATGTGGTTGACATATTTATTCCTTACTTTCACTCATAAATTCTTAGAATTTTCAGTAAATGATGAATTAAATGAGTGACAAAACTATAAACAAAAGATACAGAGATTTGCTGTAGTGAACAATTATTTAAAATGTATTCACGTCGAAGCAAGATTTCGTGAACACGAAAAAGCTACTGAACTCCTAAATGTTGCTATGTTAGTTAGTTATCATGACTTGGATATTACGGAGTCGTCCAAAAGTATGTGTTTTATACAAATACATTTATGGAAAAATATACATTAGGGTTGAATTATTAAGAATGACTAAATAAACTAACAGTTTAATGTTAAATGTTTCTATTATTTTCAAACGCAAAATGAAGCACCATCTTAAATCTTTTTCTTCTTCTTAAATAATCTTTTATTTACCTGAATAATGTATTATGAAAACATTACGTTTCAAGTACAGTTGTACCAAAAGTACCTGGAACAGACTTTTAATGCAGTCTTCCCATGAAAAGAATTCAAACAAATGAGAATGGGCCTAGTCCTATCATGAGTATATTTTCCAAACGTTTAAACATTTCTAAGAGCTTTTGTAACAGTTATATAATATGCTATTGTGTCGCTATTGTAAAATGTCATGATTATCTGTGTATTATTTATGTTTTGACATTTTTATGTGATTCTTGGAAATAAATATGTAAATTTCCTGTATTATACTTAAATTTTCGTTACTTGAGATATTTGTGATTTGTTATAGATCTATGTTCTACAATAAAACAAATATAAACAACGATTTGGCTATTTCGGTTAATAAACCAAGCTACTTAGGCAATTTACAATGATACCCAGTCCGAAAAAATACAGTCGTTGATGATTCTTTCGGCAAGCTAACTTCTCGTGAACGATGTTTTAGATGGTTTATTAATTCATACTTTAAGACATGTTTTGGAGCTGATTTTCATATAATTAAACCCGTGTAGTTGTCCATTTTAATAACCATGTTTTTAAGTCTAGATAAATTAAGGGCGAGGACAACGAAATTGCATTCAACATGTTATTAAAAAAGTTTCTTATAATCAAATATATATATTTCACTTATGCGAAATTATAAACAAATAACCTATAACAAAATAAACTATTATGACTGGTGTGACGGGAGTCTTAGAAGATCAAGAAACATGTATGAAAAAAGGTTGGCTGAAAATGTAAAATGTAAATAGGAGGTACATATAAAAATGTAAAATGTAAATATGAGGTACATATAAAAATGTAAAATGTAAATATGAGGTACATTAAAAATGTAAAATGTAAATAGGAGGTACATATAAAAAGGCCAACTCATACCTAATAACCTACAAATTGTCATGACGTCGAGTTGGTCTTTTGAGGCCACATAGTTCCTGTTTGGGTAACTGTGTTCTGCCACGAAGGACGATGTTTAGAAAACAGGAACGACCAGCAAAGACTGCGTGATATTGTAGTGGACAATAGAAGACGAAAAAGAAGAGGGCCAAGTTTTCAACAAATTGAAAAGTTTACATAGAATACAGCTTAATCAACTAAATTTTTTAATGAAATGCAAGAAGAACTGTGTTGTGCCAAATAGTACTAAAGTGAAATGTAAATTAAAAAGCAATAGGGTAACGTTTATTATTTTTAGAAGTATTATCAAGGAAAAGATGAGGGAAATTGCAAAAACTGAGGGTAAATTATACCACGTGCATCTAAAATTAGCTAGGAATATACGGTGTTTAAAAATGAATAATGTGGTACTAAATGAGAAGTACACTAAATTTTTAAACAACCCAAAAATAATAAATATGTCAAAAGAAAATATTACAATAGAACGAATTAAAATTGATGAGGTAGGTTTGAATTTTTCTGTAGATAACAGTAGGTCAGTGAAAGATGATTTAATAGTGGCAGTGGAAACTAGTTTAAAAAACTGAAAGTTTATGATAATATTGTAAAGGATACTGTTCGAACAGCAGTGGCAAAAATTTTAACTTCGGATACAGAAAAAACTAATAGAAACTTGTATAATCATGAAGTTAACGAACTTCGTGCAATTAAAGATAATACGAACATTGTTAGGAGACGGCTTGAATGGGTAATGAAGAAAAACTTTAATATAACAGCAAATGTACAACGTTTCGACAAGGGGGAAACACTGACACTTGGTTAGTGTGACTGTTAGATTCTGGAATTAACTGAAAAGTGGCAAGTCTGATAACCTGATGTCGGAAGACACTGACATTCGGTAATCGTGGCTATTATATTCTAGGGAAAACTGAAACTTGATAAATGTGACTCCATGATTTTAGGGAAAATTGATAGTTGGTAAATGTGACTATTTGATTCTGGTGAAAACTGACACAGGGTAAGTCTGATAATTTGATGCTGGGAGAACTGACACAGGGTAAGTCTGATAATTTGATGCTGGTGAAAACTGACACAGGGTAAGTCTGATAATTTGATGCTGGTGAAAACTGACACAGGGTAAGTCTGATAATTGATTCTAGTGAAAACTGACACAGGGTAAGTCTGATAATTTGATTCTGGTGAAAACTGACACAGGGTACGTCTGATAATTTGATTCTGGTGAAAACTGACACAGGGTAAGTCTGATAATTTGATTCTGGTGAAAACTAACACAGGGTAAGTCTGATAATTTGATGCTGGGAGAACTGACACTTTGTAAATTTGACCATTTGATCGGGAAAGAAAGTGTCATCAGTAAATGTGATTACCTGATTTATGGGAAAAACTAGCAATATCACGAACGATTCTTTAAAATTGTTGGTAAATCTGATACTCATAAACTGTTTGACTACTAGATCTCGAAATTTTTTTTCGAAGTATTGTTATAATGTTAAAACTTGGCTTCGATTCCAACGGGAGATACAACACAAATAATCCAATGTATAGTTTTGTGCTAAAACAAACGCTAAGCGGTAAAGTTTATTAACTTGATATATAGGTATATATTATTTTGACAAATCTGTCACTTGAAATATTTGATAAATATGATTTTTCTGTAACAAATGATGATATTTTATGCCTCTTATGATTCTCACATGAGGAGTTGATTTGACCGATCACATAATTATTGAAAATTATGAAGAATGTCACATTTAATTCTTTTTACGAGTTTCAAAGTGTAGCTCAACTAGAAAGGAATGGATTCACTAAAATTTAAATCTTATTTGGTGAGAATGTTAGCCACATTTAGAGGATAAATTCACATAACTAGTATTATGATGATTATTTTTGTTTTGAAGCGTCATGAACAGAATTTACAAAAATTAACAACCCGATTTTAGTAAATACGGTTGGAATGGCAGTTTATTGAACTCTGAAGAGAAATTAACAATACGTGTTTCATTATTTGGTATTCGGTAGCAATTTAAAGTTGAAAATCTTATTACCTAAAACAAGGTCCGCCATAAGAAGTCTGAGAATTTTATATAGTTAGATTTTCCAAATTATCAAGGAAAACATTGTCTGTTGTATTTAGAATAACGATTAAAGGGCTCGAATTTTAATGAAAACACATGTGAAATCCAACAGCGTTTTCATGTTGTTGAGCTTTATTTAGAAAATGAATGTTCCATCATTGCAGTTTAAAGAGCATACCATTGAGAACTTGCCGTTGATGTTGCTCCGTCTGGACATGTCATCAAAGGGAATTGTAGTTTAAAAAAGATGGCGCCACCTGATATACAGCACGAGCAACAATGGCAGTGTTGCGTGAACTGTTCCTAAACAGAGCAATTTCTCGTAATGGAGACATAAAATGGCCTCCACGATCCAGGGATTTGTCAGCTGTATACTTCCTTTTGTGGGATTACTTAATGGACAAAGTGTATACCAACAAGCCACGGACACTAAAAGATTTGAAAGATAACATAAAGATGGAATTTAATGGGCTTATGCATGAAACTTTGACCTTTGCAATGGAAGTTGTCATTCTTAGAGTATGCCAATGTGTACACTTCATGGTTGACACCTATTGGACATTATTTTACATACTTAATGGTTACAAAAAATGATTTGAGGTATAGTTTCTTAAATAATAAACACAAATTATAGTAACAAATGTTGTCGATTATTGCGGTTTTTAAACCCGTGTATTTGTTTTGACGAGCCTTGTAGAAGGGAAAAACACTCTTCAAATGTTCGCCTTTTATGGAGAGACATTTATGCTATGCTTTGGAGTATTATGTGGAAAATCTGATTTCCTCAGTAAAAACATCTTATGCATTTTATGTAGCTGTGCGATCAGCTAGCTATTAATTATTATGGTCATTTACTCTTAGCAGAAAGTGGGTATAGGTCTCTCATTTTCCTTTTTTCTCATTTTCTTTGTTTTGTATAAACTGCAAGAAGAGACAGTAAATACGATAATAAGTTGTGCATTGTACCAATTAATACAGCGTTTGTTTGTAATTATGCACAAAGCTACACAATGGGCTACCTGTGCTCTGCCCACCACGAGTATCGAAACCCGGATTCTGGCGTTGTAAGTCAGTAGACGTGCCGCTGTGCCACTGGGGGGCGTTTAATACAGTGATATTTCTTAAAATGAAAACTAAAAACAGTTATTGTATTCTTTGATGCATTCCTTTAGAATAATGTATAATCACCAACTAAGCTTTAAATAGATTTAGAATATTATAGACTGTTCTGTTTTTACATCCTATGCGTCCTTATAGTACGTTGTGAGACGTATTACTTTCTTTTGTCAATAAATAACTATTTCTATCATAGTTCTGATTTTGGAAGTTTTTAAAAATTAATAATAGTTTAAATAGATATTTCCACTTTTTACTTTTTATGTAAAAATCATTTCTCTGTTCTTAATATAACAAAGTTTATTCTAATTCAAATGAAAATTATTTTACATTTAGTAAACATGCAATATGTTGTCGAGTTCGTAAGGAAATCTGATTTCCACAAAACGTCTCTTTACAATAAAGTACGTTTTTTTCCTCCTAAGGAAATGAGTTTGTTCTTGTTATTTGAGGCTGAGTTATTTGAGACTTAATTGAGTCGGTTGATATTTTATTGTTGACATATGAAAAACACAGCTAAAATACAGCAGAACTAGTTTATTACTGTACCAACAAATATTCCATCACACACTTGTTTGTCTATGATCCTGAGAGTCAATAAAATCCGCAACATTCTGTATAGAATATCAAAATGTTCATCGGTGGGTCAGTGGTAGGTTCACAAACTTATACTCAAAAATCCGCAGCTCGATACCCCGCGGTAGACAGAGCGTGGATAGCCCATTGTGTAGCTTTGCGATAAACAAACA